GAAATAAAAAAAATAAATAAAAAGGCATATACCATTCAGTAGTGGAAAGATGATCCACCCCAATATTGTCAGAGTCTTGTTGCCCGATGTATCAGGTGTAAGAGCAGTGACAGATATATACAATTCCATGGGATCAGAATGAGTTTGGGTTAAGGGGGAGGCAGGTACTGTTTTATTGTAGGTTTTCTAAGGCTTCTTGCTACATGGGTCTCCACTCAAACTTGGCTACTAGTTCAGTCACTTAGTATAGATGCTTGAAAAACATTCACAGGTATGGGACATGCTGCCTCTTATACCCAATGAGGCCAAACAGGCCAGAGACCTCCTTTTTTGGTTAGTGTCTGCAAGACCCACAAATTTTCCTTATGAGGCTATGGAATGTCTCTTTCTGCTACTGATCGCATAGCAGCAAAGATACACACTTATGTGGCCTGGCCCTGGTCTCTATCCTCATTCAAGGCCCAGCCACCTGTGTACAGTTATCCTTACAGAGCATGCATTACAGTGAGAACAGTTTCCTCTGTGAAGGTCACTACCAAAGTATCACAAATATAATGGAATGGGCTTGTGCAACTCATTACAATGTATTGCAGTTATTAAGTATTGCCGGGGGAGTGCAAAATCCCCAAGGCAGGAAAGTAGAGGTGAATTTCATGTTCTTCCAGGTGAAAACAAAATATTTTTCTTCCTAGAGAAATCTGAAGAGGACATTAGTAATTAGGGCAATTCTGTCCAACTGAAATATGTGAGCCAGATATGTAATTTTAAATGATCTATTAGTCACTTTCAAAAAAGTTTAAAAGAGATAGGTACAATTGATTTTAATCATATAGTTAACCAACCCAATAGATCCAAAATATTAATTTTTCAACAGCTAAATATAAATAATAGTGAGATGTTTTTCATTCTTTTTTCCAAACTAAGTCTTCAAAATCTGTTGTGTGTTCTACACTTTCAGTACCTCTTAATACTGACCATCCATGTTTCGAGCGCTCAACAGCCATATGGGGCTAGTGGCTGAGTAAACTGGACAGTGCACCTCTAGGACATACCACATTCCAGTGATGGCTGTGACCAATTCAGTCATCTGTTGGTGTATCAGGCACATGGTGGCCACTATTAAAACCACAATGGTCCATCATGAGGGGCCAAGGACACTGGGTTTGTTCACTGTCTAAACAGGGCTGTGGAACTGGAAAGTAGAATGGCCTACCACTCCCTTCTGGCAATGGCAATAGACCTTGTATGGAGGAATGTTTTCTTTCTCATCTTGTGGTATGTTAACAGTTTTAACTGCACAATCCTGGCAGGCTTTGGAAGTACAGGAGGCTCTGTAGACTTAATAGGACTAATTTGTAGCATTCATCAGTAGAGACTTCTATCCCTGCACCCACCCAGCAGGTCAGTGTATTAGGCTGGGCTGAGGGGACCCAGCACGCCCATATCAATCATGCAGTCTGATTGTGAAAAGTCTCATCAAAGGAGCCAACAGCATTTGCAGTAATTGTGCCGAGTCTCTTGGCTGTAAGTAAAGTGAGTCCAAAATCCTGCCAGGGAAATTTACTACGGACTTGATGAAGTCCAAGAATGACAGCTTCTTGGGCTCCGGTGTTGGGTAAGTCTAGGTCTATTGAGTCTTTCTCCCACTTACATTCTAGGCTACATGGACTAGTGCGTAAAGTTAGCATCCCCTTGAAGAGGGCAGAGGATCAGACTCTGGGTCGTTTGCTTTTGGTTTAAATGGACTCAAATCTATTGAAAAGCTCTCTGGCATTCAGACTAGAAAATCAGTCTCTCAGGTGACAAGAAGGCCTATGGGGGTGGGGAGTGTCTAGGAGTCTTGTTTCAGCAGTTAAGATGTGGCTAACTGCTTAGCTTCCTTTTCTAGACCTTTCTCCAAGGACACAGGCGGCTTTGCGACCTTGCTGGCCAGGCAGTGGGGAAAGCTAACTGCTTCCATCTCCAAACGGAACTCTCCCAGCCAGGACCTCCTTGCATCAGCTTTCCGTAAGGGGCTCCTTAATTCCTACTCTAAAATCAGCTGCTTTTATTACCTGCACTCACCCTCTCTCTGGAATATCCTTGGAGTGATTTGGGTTGCTCATGAGCCTACCAGCTTCTCTATTTTTTCCATCTATCTCCTTAGCTAATGAGGGATCCCTTTGTTCAAGACCAAGAGCCCCAGTGCAGTGCCTGAGGGAGCCTCAGAATTTAGTGTGGAGTGGTGCTCTTCCCTGTGTTTTCATTTTTGCTGAGACCTGGGTCATCTTTCCAGGGCCCCTTATCTCATTGTCCCCTTTCGGGTGGAACATAAATTAGCCCCGGAGGATTATCTCATCCCTTACACTCTTGCAGGAGCAAATTAGGGAAGTTCGCGTGTAAGATCTCATCAACTTTTCCAGCATTATTTGAATTAAGGTAATTTGGGCACAAGTTATCCCAGATGCCCACAGGATTTTCATATAATCATGCTAAGGTGTCTCAAAACAGCTCTAACCTCAGTAGGGTTGTTCCACTTTTGCATTCAGTGCCTCATGAAGTCTCCTCTTGGTAGTTATGTGAATCTGTTGTCCCTGAACATCAAACTCAAGAACAAGGCAGGCCCACTTGCTCCCTCCCCATGGGTCAGCCTAACCAATTCATTCAGCAAGAGAATCCCACAGTAAACCCCATTCAGCTTGACTTGCTTCATGGGTGTAGCCTCTTAATCATGTAAGAAATTAAAGCTTCAAGGGACTCACTCCTGTGACTACTGCTGGGAGTTCAATTCCCTGTTAGTGTATTGAAGCCCCATCGACCCCTGGGTGGCATAATGCACAAGTCTCAAATCTAAAAGGTTAGGTTGAATCAACTGTTCCAATGGCACCTGGGGGCCAAGGACTCTTTTCTCCCGATCTTTTTCCTTAGTGCTCACAATGGCGGGCAGACCTGTAAGGGAATGCCAAAGGATCAAACTGTCTCAATCTGCCTTACGTCATAGACTTTCCAGGACCTTTGTGGCACAGAGACATAAATAAGCACTGTGACATGTTTGCCAGTGATTTTAGCTTAGCCAGATTTCCCACCACCAGCCCCAGGAGGAATGCCATCCACTCCTAGTATGGCTCAGTTGATCCCTTTTGCAGTTTCCAAAAGGCCAGTGGTGGAATAAATGAAGTTTGCCTTGTGTTGGGTACCACCTGAAAATTGGTGGACTAAGGCACACCACACAAAGCCATACAGAAGAAAATGGTTTTGATGAGGGAAACCTATCAGCGAAGGGTCACCAAGAAGAGGCACTGGATACCATTCTTTCGTGCAAAGACCAGGGCACTACTTACTATACCTTGGGTCTGTATTCCACAGGACGGGTATTTCTCCCCTGTGAGTCTTATCTTTCCATAGAGCAAGCCTCTCCCACTAACATAAAACTTCTTAGCAAAAAAAAAAAAAAAAAAAAAAAAAAAAAAAAAAAAAGTATTTCCCAGGTTCTGTATGGAAAGTTCTGAGAAACTAAAAGAAAGCTTTTTAAATGGCCTCAGATAAACACACAGAGGAAAAGATGCTCAAGATTTAAATGCTGGTGCCTGATAAGCCTTCTGAACAATCCAGACTAGCACCTGGTAATGGCTACTTCTGAATAACTGGTTATTAGGAGCATCTGAAGCTCACAAGGCTGTTCACGGCCATGAAACGGAAAGTGGCTCAAAAGGGATCAGAACCCGTATATTGACTCTAAAAGTCATTATATTCCAAACTACCAGGAGATCTAAGATCATGATCAGATGAGATAAATGCCTTTCAGTGAGCCAAGTTGAGTGTTAAGCTGGCTGCTGCCAAAAGGCTGTTCATTTACAGTGCTGAAAATTATTGCCAAACAAGGAAAATCCAATCGAATTACTTGAGGATGGTTTCTACCTACCCACCACTAATGGACTGTGCCTAGCTAGGCAGAATTGGTTGTAGAGAACCAGAAAAGTATTAGAGTGAAAAACTAGAAAAGCAGAAAACAAAGAAGTATTTTTCTGGAAAAAAAATGTTGAGGAGACTGCCCTGCATCATTTTGGATTCTAACATTGGGTAAAACGTTGACACTGTCATCTCTCCATATGTACCCCTTTTTTAGGTGGTAGGTCATGCTAGAGTTTCCTGACATGACCACAACAGCCAATTACTAGGCACGTTCTACCCACAAATCTTTTACTACTGAGATGTTGACATCAAAAGTTATTTTTGCACTACATAAGACACTTAATATTTTCCAAATGGCAGGGTATATTTATGTGTATGCAGACAGCAGGAGTATGTGTTTAATATGATTTAGCGGTAGCCTATGTAATTAATGTGTTGAAATCTTATCTGTAAATATGAAGAATTATTTTCAAATATTTTCGTTTTTTCCTTTTAAGGGCACATAAAAATTACTAGCAACGCACATTTGCTTTGCATAATTTCCCCCCACATATCATTTTTTGTCATATTTAATAATTTAAAACCAGGAGCAAACATCTGTCAGACTAATTTTTTGCTTTTTCATAAGTGCAACTTTTTAATAAAAATTTACATCTAGATAAACAATCTTCAGATTTTTGAAACTTTAATAAGATTTTAAAAACATCATGACTTTGAACTGAAAAACATACACATTTAGCACACAAATATTGTAATATGAATCAACTCCAACTCCATTTGAAAACATGTGAATCAAATTACAGTTTTAGAAGTTAGTAATTCACATTTAAGCAAGTTAGCGCCTTGCTGACTTCAGCCTTTGTAAAAAAAAAAAGAGACTTAGTGCATATTGTAATGGTACATGGTGGTTTTGTACCATTTTGTTGATTTTTTTAACTTTATTAAAGAAGATTAAGTTCTTGGAAGTTGGTAGATTAACGGCTAACTTCCTATGACGTGAAATTTCCAATGGTAACAGTTACATTTTGTAACAGAACACTTCCTATAGATTTCTTTTCCTATCTTAAAATTTTAAAAGCAATCATTTGTAAGGATTGCATCAACATCAATTTAGCAGAGGAAGATCAAACTTTATTGAAACTGCTTGCATACAAAATATATTGCACTATAACCAAACAAATGTCAACATAAAATCCAATCTGTTGTCGCTAATATGTACAGAGAATATTGCCCAAGAGCAGTTACATTACAAGGTCATTCTACCTTGGTTAATTATCTACAGTATTTTAAACCAAACAACTTACAGATGATGTGTGCAAGGTACCAATTTCTGTTTTCAAATACTATACATTCCCAGAATAAATAACTAGAAATCAACATTAATGTTTGGCAATACTTTTTAAAAGACTTTTTAATATTCGTGAAATCATGTGCAGTTTGTTGCCATTTTTATATGCTTATTTGTATGCAAGGAAAAGTAACTATAAAATGAAAATTCAAAGAAACAAACTCACAAAATACATCAGAGGCAGAACTTCGGTTTGTACGGCTCTGTACAGATTCAGTGGTACCCCTATTGGAGTTATTTTGTAAGAAAAATATAACATCTTAGAGTGAAGGTCCTTCACATATTTTTCCTCAGTAAATTTCATTCATTTAAAAAAAAAGACTCAAAAACAAAAACAAAACCCAATACATCAAAAAACAAAAGGAAAATAATAAAAAAAAGTTAACCAATCCTAGTCTGTTTTCCAATTCTGTTTATACATGAGACCTTATATTTTAAAGTTTACAAAACACTTAATCTGTCTGCAATGTTTCTTAGACAAAGTACCTGTACTTCACAGGATTATTATGCATACATGGAAATGACCTTCCTATCTCACCAAAATAAGTTTGAAATTAAAATATGAAAAACTTCACAAAACTTGGGGAGGACAAAATAAAAAAGGTCTAAGTTAAAATTGGTCATCAGGCCAAAGAGCAGGCATATCCTACTAACTTTCGACCAGGAAGATTTGTTCCTAGCTGAAAACATTTTAGCCTCTCTCAAATGAAAAGAGAGTTATTTCTTCTCCTGTCTATACAGAAAAATTACACATCCCTCTCAATAACACTATTTGTCAAACTTCAGTGCAACAAAACAAAAACAAAAACAAATCCCTATTCTTTATACTGCCTAACCTGATGTTTATGTAAGGAAAAAAATATGGAAAGCATGCATTCTTCTATAAAGTACTAATGTTTGACAGGGTTTGCTACATCTTTAACATTTAGTGTTTCCGACTTATCTTCCCTGAACTCTGCATCCAAATATAATATTCCTACCTGCCAAGATATAAAAAAGGCACAGATCATACAACTTTTTTTTTTTTGCTAATGAAAATGACAAATGTCACATCACACACATTTCAGGGTCCACTAAAACACTGGAAAAGTGGACCAAAACATAAACTGACACAGGACATGAAATGACATAGCATTTCATGGAGACTTCTATATTAGATTGAAAACAGAAGTCAAATATGATTACCATAAATGCTATTTATTCTGAAAAACTGAAAATGTACTGATGAGTTATAACCCAATGTAGGAAAATGGTCCAAATTAACAAAGAAAATCACTGCTCAGTACTTTAAAAAATAAAACTAAAATCCTGCCCTGAAGTGCTAAGTATACTTAAAAGCAACATTTCAAATTTCAAGATATCTTTTTGTGCAAATCTGAAAGTTGTTGCATATGGCCAATATCAAAAAAATAAAATTCTTAGCAGAATTTGTGTTCATTTCATGCCCTGTGCCATCTTGCCTACTATTTGTCTTTGGCCGAACAAAGTTTTCTAATATGGAATAAGAATTACAGAAATGGTATAGGAAATATAACTTCAGAATTATGCAGTTTAGGGTACTCCATTCACGAGTGGTTGCTGACCATCCACGCTGTCTGGCTTTTCCTTCTTCTGGTTACGATCTTTACCCGTGCGCAGCCGATTACCTTCGCTGGAGGTATTCTGTAATGTTTTAGTGTGGACACTCCTTTCATTATTGCAGTCAACTCTGATCTAAAACAAGTTACAGTTGTTACATATATAGACCATATCCTATTGAAATCTGTAATTGGCCTGACAAGAAATTTAAACCTGAAGTGTAAATTACACATGTTAAAAAGGGAAATGGAGATGAGAATAGAAGTGCGAGAAATTAACGTAAGGTAGTATCTTTATTTGGTTTATGAAGAGTGTTTTACTCTTCTTCTTTAACTGGAACACACTGATCATCTTACTGTGTCCAAAGTTAGAGAAAAACCCACGATCCTACCGTATCTTCTTCTAAGCAGAATAAAACAGTTAGAAACAAAGAGTTAAAATGAATTGCTATTACTGATTACCAAAGATATGTATGGCTCTAACACTAGAGTTGAGAAGGAACAAGTTATTCTCCAGAGATTATGAAACCCAGGAAAGACACAAAATAATGTCTTCCTATTCTGACTTCACCAGGATAAGAACTCAACTAACTCACTTATTATCTAGCCTTTAGTTTACACCTTTATATCTACCATAGGCATGATCAAGTTTCTGTATACTGAGAGCTCTCATCATCTTAGAATAGAATATGAGCACTGGTTTCTAATAGCTTGTATTTCATTAAGACAATTCAGATGATCCTACAACTTAGTCTGAAGAATAGAATGGTACAAAGAAATCTGAAGATAATTTGTGGAAGGACTGGAATCGTAGGAGAATATAAAGATTAACACAATTTAAAATAATTTCTAAGAGTCACAAAATATTTTAAGTGCCAATGCTGAACACTGCTAAGGGAACTCCAGATGCTGTACAGAAGTAAGATAATAGTGACCAATGGGCCTAAAACAACTATAAATATTGATCAGGTTCAAGTATAAATGCTAAAAATACCCCAAAATGGCTGTAATTTCAAAGTATGTTTAAGTGTTGGGTATAGGTGGTATTTTAAATGTTTGGTTGCCAAGGATTCAGTACTTTGATTTGTATCTACTTTCACACTTAATACAGACAACATCACCTTTTCATTGAGTATCCCATTTTAATGATAAATATTCATCCTTTTAACCAATGTGGTCAGACTGCCAAGTTCATTAAACATGTCAGTTTAAGTGGAGGATTACAAAACTGGTACATATATACCTTCTATCTTTCTTTGTAAAAGACATATATGTACATTAATTTCCTAATCTTTTTATCAAGTTGCAAGGGCCTTTCTATGCTGGTCCTTAAGAACCCACCGATAGTTAATACCTACTTAGAGCTGCTATGAATTCTAGGGAATATCCCATCATAAAGTTTGTTCTTAAAGTTATCTCTCACTAATCTTGGGTGTTGGTCCCAAGCCAATCCATATTCAGGAAAGAACCTTAACTACTTGGCTTAAGAATTTAAAGTTACAGAAGAAAAGATGACAACATGGATCCTGAGAATCAGACACCAAGGTCTGAATATCACTCAGCCATATGCTAGCTATGTGGGCAAAGGACTGAACCTTCAGTTTACTCACCTATAGAATGGAATAATAAAACTACTTACCCTCAGTGGGATGAGATAAAATATACACAAAGCACTTAGCAAAGGTGCCTGGATGTGCTCAGGGGTAATGTTAAAATTATTTAATAATGGGTTTTAGCACTAGTGATGATCGATTGAGAAGGGATCCTCAGAATAGACCTCTGGCTGTAAACAAGCAGCTGGCTGATTTGGCATGGATACTGGCTGAGTATCATCAGCTCTATCGTGATTTTTAGTTGTGAGAGAGACACCTTCTTTTCCTTACTTTCTACTCAAAGAGAACACCTATCCCTGCAACTCAGGGGAGAAGGGACTCATCAGGCTTACTCAGGTCTCTTAGTACATTCCAGGATGTCCCTTTTCTTGGAGAACTGGCGGGGGAGAGGGGTCCACCAATGTGATATTAAAATCATAATGTGGCTGTAAAGGTCTTCGCAAATACTTAGCCTGCATATTCTCTACAGAAATGCTTTTATTGGTATACTTGTTACGAAGGACTAAGATTGCCTACAATTGTAATGTTGAAGGGAAAATATTTCACATACACCAAATTTGTCATCTTTGAACATGTTTAAAAATAAAGTAAAATAAAGTTATAAATCTCAAATTACCATATTCAAACAATTTAGATGAAAAGAGGCACAAAGGTTTTACCTGAAGGGATCCATCAGCTGTTCTTCCTTTAGCCTCTCTTGGATTACGCGGACGATTATCTGTTCGGGAGTGATCGTCGTTTCCTATGGGTATATTTTTAAAAGGTTCAACAGTTACTGATTGTGAAATGCTTACTGGAAGTTCTTTATTCCCGCATCCTGTATTCAGACCAACCATAGACTCTGAAATGTGATCAACAGCCTAGAGATTCCAGTTACATAATGGCTAATAATCTAGCTGGCTAACAAGCAACATTATAGGTCGATCTGAGTTAACGATCAGATCCTGTTTAGAATCCTTAAAGAAGCTGAACTAGTTATCAATGTTTATTCATATATCCTACATGAACCATAAGGAAGGCTGCCTAATACTCTGTTACTTACTACACAAATGAAAGGCTGATCCTTTCCTATGATGATCAGACCAAAACAGGACAGATTTTGATAATACTTCACTGCATCACCAGGACTTTTCATGCAACTTCAGACAGCTTGTTACAATTCACCTCGATTTCTTAATAATGAAGACCTCTGTACCTTTGAAGCCTCCTCCACGTCCTCTTCCTCCCTGTCCTCTTCCTCCTGCTCCACGCCGTCGTCCGTCTCCTCTGCGCAGGAAGCTCTCCCTCTCTTCCTCTGTTGGAGCTAATGACCAATCACTGAGTTCGTCTCTGTGGTCAGATTCTGTTTCAGAAGCATTTGATGCTTCAGAATTAGTTCCTATCGAGAGTTAAAAGTTATATACCATTGTCCAACTTAAAAAAAAAAAAAAGAGGTTAACAGAAGCTTCCAGAGATGTTTCAGGGGTAATCCAATACTCTTCCCAATTTATAAGCCCACCAAAGAATATATCGCCTTCCAATTTGTAAAACAAATGATTTTAAATTGAAAATGAAGGGCTTTGCAATATTTGAGGTAATTTTGCTTATAAAAATTTTTGGTTCTCATTAAAAAAAGAAAGGTATTTTATTAGCCACCTAAGTTCAAACCTGAGTGTGCCACATTATTAAACATCTGTGCTCTCTGGAGAAAAAGTTGTCTACAACAGTTAAATATAATGCCTTGATAAATAAAACCTCTATAAAGAGAGCTCCTTTTAATAAGATTTGGCCCAGGAACAGAGGGGAATGCACACATTTTGATAATTTTTGAGAGGGTAGCAAAGAAGGCCACCATGGCAACTGTCTTAGTAAAGGGTCTCTTGTGGCGTCAGGGATTGGATCTAGGCTGAAGGGGGAATGCTTGCCTGATGCTTGGTCTACAACCTTCCCTCCCACTTCCACTGGGTAATCGATCATTAATAAAGCATTACAATAATAAACTCTTTATGCCTAAGGGGGTTAATGATTCTTAGACGACTGGAGTGGGGGAAAACAGCTCCACAGTGAGGTGGAAATCTATTGGTAAAAAGAACTGACTGTTGGGAGAGGGGTTAGGGGTTAGATTCAAGGTTGGCCTTAGGAGTAGGTGTTTCTCTCCGTCTCCAGTGTATCAACTCTACTACCTCTCTCTCTTCCTCTGTTGGAGCTAATGACCAATTATAGCTTCACCATTATAGCTTCATTCCTGTGGATCTTGAAGGCTTTTCCATCTTAAAGAGTTCCTTTTTGAAATGCAAATATTCGTGAGATGGATTATACCTTATACCATCATTAGCAAGTTACATAGTAGATACACAGTTGAGCAAGAAAGACAGTAGGCACTGGCAGGTGGGGACCGGGTTCACTGAAAGGTATTGGGAGAGAAGAAAGAAGCACGGACAGAAGAGCTGGAACGGCAAAGAGAAACTTCGCCTACTTCTTGACTGTGCCTAGGGCTGACTTTGGCCATGCCACTCAAAATCACCTCATGAGCCATAGGATGCAGACCCCTGATTTACACAGTCCATCCAGCAAGTATGACCAGCACATGCCTGACAAAAAATGAGCCACAGTACACAAATGAAAAAAGTTTTGGCTATACAGTAATAAAATCAGGAGAGGCCTTAAGAAAGTCATCAACACACAAGGGCTTAAGCAGATTTATCCCCAATCAGAACATGGACAGAACTCACACCTGCCCTGTGAACCCTATGTGTTATTATCAGGTTTTTATTCTATGTGTCTCTTGCAACACAATTTGACCCACTGTGAATCGGAAACCATGTAGTGAGAAATTGTTATAATGGGGTTCTAATGAATATTAGAGATTAGCAGCTATTAAGTCTAGGAACAGATAAAGTTACTGAGTAAAATGCTTAGTTTGTACCTGAAGTATATCCAGGACCGCGTCTGCCGTGCCCCCTATTTCTGTAAGGTCTACTACCTCGACCCATTCCTTGACCATCATCAGTCACATAGCCTTTTTCCTTATCTGTACGATTTGGTGGTGGTCTAGAACTAGCTCCAATCTGTCGCAACTGCTCATCAATTTGTAATCTCTCCAAACGCAACTGGTCTACTTCCTATTTAAAATATACAAGATAACAGTAAAAATAATTTGACATTTTACTTAATAAAACCTTTCTCCTTTTCATCAGATAAAAAGTATACTGGAAATACTTCAATTTCAGTTCTAAATTTACAGTTAAACACTGTTACACAGAATTATCAGGAAACTGAATCATCTCCTTAAAAAGAAAATTACTACAGATAACAGATTATAGATGTTCAGAATTAGAGATATAACCAAAATACTCAGCTTATTAAAGATTATATTGAATAAAATTTAAGGTTGTTTGATTTGGCACTATTATACTACTACTAAGGCACAAATATGCTAGTTTAGGGACTTCTTGATGATAGGATATTGAATAAAACAATGCTAAAATGTATGAAGACAGATAAATGACATTTAAGGTTTAACCAGCTAACCTTAAAAATGACACATAGTAAATAATCTTAATTAAAATAGATTTGCCAGTTAATATCTTAATTTATAAAGCATTGAATTTGGGCCATGTTTTGTTTTAAAAGAACATACATTATGGTAGGTATTTGAGTGTGATAAGGAACAATTATTTTTCATGAACTAAAAATGCTGACATTCCTTACATGAAGAAAAAAAAAACCTATTTAGTAGCTGACCATAACAGCTAGGTCTTACATCATGCCTTGAAAACCTCTTAAGACTACAACTCTGCTAGAACAAGTATGACAAACAATATACATTCAGTTGATCAAAATAAACACCTGGGGTCCACTGACGGACCCTTACCCTTACACACAGTGCTTCCAATATGTTGGGTCCTGTTAAATCCAGATGAAACCTCATTTCTAACTCTTCTCTTTCCAGTCTACCCATAAACATCTCATTTCCTGGCTACAAAGAATCAGATCCATAACTATAGTAGTACTAGGTGTCAAGTAGAGGTCTTCACATAGACTGTCTATGTGAACAGTCATTCATTGGAGAAATCCCTGTAAAGCTAAATTTCTAAAATTTGATTGTGGCAGCGTCTGGAAAAGAAAGGTCAGGTAAGGATCTAGGTGAGTTTTATCTGTGCTCTGAACCAGAATCTGTTTTACATAGGACTTGAGCAAAGGAGAGACTGCAGCTGAATGGCTACCTCCAAAGGTATAGTAATAGCAAAACAGAATGGTAGTCCAGGTTATCCCACTGGGGCAAAGCAGTCACCTTTTGGTGAGAGATGCCAGGCCCAAACAAGGGAAGATCTGGTGATGGAAAGAATGGCAACAGGACAGCTGCTGATAACCAAAAAAGATATTCAATTGTGAAGAATAAATCAAAAGATCTAAGAAAGAACATTTGTCAGAAGAACAAGGGATTTGATACAATGCAATCCTAACTCTCCAGGTCTTCATAATTATTTAAGCTAAGAATATGAAGAAAAACACATACAACAGATAACACATAAAACACACTGTAAAACAAAAACAAATAAGCAAATCAAAGAGGTATCCTACCCATGCAAACCTTGCTGGATGAAACCTTCCCACTTTTAATTATTAACTGACCACCATAAGAATGAATGATATGCCCAGCTATCGCACTGTTTCTCCCTTTCACTCTTATTCACACATAAGTAGAAATCACTTAATTTTTATTTCTGTCAAGAAATTAGCAAGAAATTCTTAAAATAGCACCATAAATAAAATAGAGTTGAATTAATTTTTAAAGACTATTTAATACCAGCTACGTTACAGTTTTGGTATGCATGGATACAAAGAAGAAATCATAAAACCTAAGAGGATAAGATTCCATTTCACTAAATCACAGAACATTTTGGCCAAAAGAAATTTCAAAAAGCATTTAGTTTAGGAAAGTGACTTGCCTAAAGTCACATAGCTAGCTTGTCTTGAAGAGAGACTATAAAAGAAAATCACTGGATTGCCAATCCAGTGCTCTTTCCAGTACACTTTGTAACCCTCCTGGCTCCTACCGTCCAGTTTGCAGTCTAGAGGAGGCATAACTGTACAAACATTAACTAAAACGGGCATTTACAAGAAGACACAAATACTTTATATTTTGAATAACAGTATAGAGAAAAATACAAAGGGCAAACATTTAAACGGAGGACTTCGTGAAATACTGAGATTTCCTTGATAAATGACATAAAAGGGACAACAAAGGCAAGTGCTATAGACATAAATTTTGGCCTGGAAAAAAATCCACAAAAACTAGAGAGGATCAACTGGATTAAAAGGCTATGTACAGAATTACTGAAATTGAGTATAAGAGTTTAACAGAAGAATAAGGAGAAATACGGAATTTGTTGAGAACTAGTATATTGGTCCTTAAATTTATAATGAAAAAATGATGTGTGTTTTTAGAAGGAATATAAGCTACACAATATCAGTATTTTCTCTATTATCTTTTATAGGTCATATATTATATTATGCACAGGCTAGAATGAATCCTAACTACTGAAAGATTTACTGTAAAGTTTTTATATTTTACTGCAAAAGGATTAGAAGTTAAAGTTCTTTCTGTTCTCACCTTTAAATAGTTCAGGTGATAATCCAAAAGAACAGTGGCATTAGCGATGCTGTCCTTTGTTCCCACAAAAACAAATGGTACCATACCCTGAAAAAAATTGCAACAATGATCCCATAAAATTAATGATGGATTAATCTGAAAAATGCAAATGACTAAATCCCTAGCACAGGGTCTAGAGAACAGCAGGCACACAAATGTCTGTTGAAAATATAAATCAGTATTTTATCAAGACAAAAGTAGTTGATATACTTTACACATCTACAGTAGATCTACAGTAGATAAGAACAGATCAATAGAGCAACCCCTTAAATGCATCAGATTATTATATTTTAAAGACTACTACTGAATGTTGCCAAAATCACAAATTATATGCAAGCTTTAACATGAGATGCATAAATAAAATGAATAGTTTAAAATGTCCTACTTCATTTACTATAGGCTTTACTTAGACCAAATTCTTAAAAAAATTAAAAATTGGAAACCAGGGCTAAAAAAGTAAAAAAATCAATTTTGCTAAGTCAACAGAATACAAACAAAACACAAAAAGAATTAGGATGCATAAAAATGCACTGATTAATCTGTGAGACAAAAAAACTAGGCATATCTATGAGCATAAAATTTAACAGGCCCATATACATTTCAATAAAGTAGTCTGAAAATTTTAAAAGGCTGAATAACAAAGTTTGATCTTCTATGGATATTACTTAATACAAGGATAGATTTTTAAAAGGCATATACTAAAAATTTATACCTCTAACTCCCCTACATATACTGTGAGGGAAAAAAAACCTATCTCTTGTCACAAGTTATAGGGAAGCCTAGTCACAGCTATGTAATCTAACAGTTGGCAATTATGACAAACATTCAAAGTCGAGAATAGTTCAACATTTTCCTATTAAAGAAATACACGTTTATTGGTATTCCCAAATGACTAACAAAAAGTATAAAGTAACTTTGATGTGGATTATAACTAATTTTCTATACAAAGTTAAAAGGTGTGAGAAGCCAAGAAGCTGTCCCTTGAGCAAAGTACCACTCTTTTCTAAAGAGCATGCATTTGATAGGTGTGGCTACTGCTGGGCTGTTGTTTTTGCTTGCTTGCATTCAGTATACAGCATCTTAAAGGTGTGTGGGGGCTGGGCAGGTTTTTCTTATACCCTCCACATTAACATGGCTATTGATGGAGAACAAAACTGAACTATTAGGAAATACTGCTTGCAGACTGACCATCCAGCAGGCAAGGCATTACCTTCTTGTAGCAATGACCACCTGAAAAATCAGGTGCCTTTCAAAACCTACGGGCTTCATATAGATTTCTTGCATCACATAATATATGAATTATGGAAATAATCAGGCCTATAAATCAGATCTCTTTTCTCAAAATACCATTTTTGGGTGTTGAGGTTTTCCCCAATTAACTTTATGCCTTACAAATCTGTTAACCATATCATTAACATTTCCCAAAATACCGTATGATGGAATGCTATACCACTCTCTCTGGGTCAAATATGACCAAAATAAGCTTTAAAATCCTATGTTACAGATTTAGTTATTAATAGATTGACTTTGGAACAAATCATTTAAAAATATTTAGGCTGGGTAGAGTGGCTCATGCCTGTGATCCCAGCACCTTGGGAGGCTGAAGCAGGAAGATCACTTAAGGCCAGGAGTTCGAGACTAGACTGGGCAACACAGCTGTACAAAAAATTTTAAAAATTAGCAGGGCGTGGTGGCGCATGCCTGTAGTCTCAGGTACTCTGGAGGCTGAGGTAGGAGGATAGCTTGAGTCCAAGAGTTGGAGGCTGCAATGAGCTATAATCTCACTGTACTCCATCCTAGATGACAGAGCAAGATCCTGTATCAAAAACAAAAATGTTTTTCTCTTGCAACATGTCCAAACCGTTGGAATGCCCAAGGGCCACTCTAAATTATACATCTTGTCAGTGGATCTGAATAGTAAATTAAAATGAAGAAAGGCGAGAGTAGAATGGTGGCCATCAATATGAATACCAGGAGAACATTATTCCCTGTTATGGGATAAGAACTAGGCTGCCCATCAGAGAGGGATAGCCAATCCACTTGCGGTTACAGTCCTCTTTTTAAAATGGCATCTTTTCTTTTCATCTCTTGTAAGTCACAACATCTTTTCCATAAACAGTTCTAACAGGTTCTCCTTGCCATCAAGGAACCACAATGTGGTTGAGGAGATCAATTAAGTAAACATATGTATAAGTGCTATGCTAGGGTACTAGAGCAGGGAAGGGGAAGGCTCTTGACCCATTCAAGAGACCTGTGGTAAGTACACAAGGAAAGCTTTACAAGGAGTAAGACCAAAGAGAGGTGGCAAGTAGAAGAGAAAGAGTGCTCCAGGCAGAATAAACCTGTGCATATGTCTAGAAGCAACAGAGAGTATGACGATGTCTGGAGAAGTAGAAGTTCTTCAGAATGGCTTAAGCTTCTTTAGTGCAAAAGGGAAGACTAGTGAGAGATGACATTGGACGAGTAACTGGGAAAAGCCTTATATGTAAGTGGTATGAAAGCATTTGAGATTTATCCCCAGGGCAATGGAGCTACATACCCATAAACACTCCTCCACCAGCCCCCAACCCTGATGATCATTTGTAGTCTTTCTTAACAAGGGGAATAAACATTAAAATATGAGCTGAAAATATAATTTACAAGGAATGTTTTCCTATATGCCAAGCCTTGAGTTCAGGTTTCTGGGATTCCCCTGCTACAACTAATGAAACCACTAACACCTAAAGCAGTATAAGGAATGCAAGTGATGCCACTAACTGTAACAATTAATACACAGAAGCCTGAATACAGAACTTCCACTGCGGGACTTTTAAACCCATTTCTAAATAGTTAGGTTAGTTCCAATAGTGAAACCCGGTTTCTAAAATATGGCTTTAAGTAGTAACTAATGCATATAACAGAGGGTACATTTTGAACTATGACACCTACACAATTTAAAGAGAGAAAGTATGGGAAAAAAGTAAACCCTCAAAAGAAAAATGTGACCATGAAATGCAACCCCATTATTTTATGTTTATAACGTAAGAATCGTCACTGTAAATAAATTGAAAAGTCTGTAACACTTTGGTTTGTAATATTTCATGAGTTGGCAATCACATTTGAAAAACTAGAAAGAACATGAGTAGCCTACAAGTCTAACCAGAGAAAACACTCAAAACACCAATGGTGACATCTGAGTCAATGAAATTACTTTTAGTGTAATTCAAAGTGACAAATAATTCTTACCCTCTGGACTTTTGTACTGTTAGGTTGAGAAAAATGGGCGCTGTTTTCCTTTATATCTAAATGTTTTTTTTCTTCTGAGGAATTAGGTCCAACCCTTGAATTATTGGAAGGCAGGGAATTTGGCGGCATAATTTCCTTGGTAAAAAACACAAAATACAAAAGGGAAAAAAGGACCAATTTTTAAGACTTTATTTAGCTCTATTATTGTATCAATGATCATACTTTACGAATGCAAATTATTACAAACAGTTTTGACATATAAAATTAAAGAATGCAAAAATTATGCAGTAAACACCCCAAAGGATTTAACTTCAGCTGAAATAACCTTTTGTAAAAGAAGGCTAGATAGGCCAGGTGTGGTGGCTCACGCCTGTAATCCTAGCACTCTGGGAGGCTGAGGCCGGAGGATCGCTTGAGGTCAGGAGTTCGAGACCAGCCTGAGCAAGAGTGAGACCCCGTCTCTATTAAAAATAGAAAAAATTAGCTGGGCATGGTAGCGTGCGTCTGTAGTCCCAGTTACTCAGGAGGCTGAGGAAGAAGGACTGTGTGAGCCTGAGGGTTTGAGGTTGCTGTGAGCTAGGCTGATGCCATAGACTCCAGCCCCATCTACAAAATGAGATTCTGTCTCAAAAAAAAAAAAAAAGGATAGATAATATGTGAAAATTATGGCATTTTGAGGGGATTGTATATTAACCAAGAGTACTATTGCATAGAAGGGCACATCCTCACTTCCCCACTCCGTATAGATACTTTAATAGTTGCTACCAAAAAGCATATATTCGTGAAGATAAAAGTGAATTAAATTATAAAATTTAAAGGTGAGAACAATGGAGAAGAAATATTATGCCCATGAAAAAACTGAAAGTACATAGAATAAACACATATACCACACAATCCCCAAACTAAAAAAGCCAAAAGATGAAAGCCAGAAAACCTGTGTTTCAATTTTGTCTTTGTCAGCAACATCAACATTTGAAAAGTGTTTTACAAAGTATTTCCACATATATTATTTCATTAAGTTATCATTAACACATGACCCAGTGATGTATGTTTCATATTTTAAAATTTATGATTACTCATTTTAAAGATCAGGAACTAAGAGCTAAATAGGTTAAAATGACTAATCCAACGTCATAACATTAGAGAACAGACAGAGGCCATTATCTTTAACTATAACATTAATTATATTGGGTATGCTTGATAATATTTGTATTCACATTATGTGCATATTACAGAGGTCTCTAAACTAACAAGTCAAATAAAACAATAAAAACATTTACTTTTTAAGACAAACCAAAACATTTGCACTATAACATACCTCTTCTTGTGGGACGTTTTTTTCATTTTCAGCCTCAATCCTCACCCTTACAACTCCTGACTTGTCGACAATCTCCTGAATCAGTTTTCCATTTTTTCCTATTACTTTGCCTAAGAGATGAATAATTCATGTTTGGTTTTAAAAACGCATACCTCAAACCAGTAAGCATATGCATATATATGTATGTATTTGTGTGTATTGAATTATAAGATTCTGAAACCAAAGGAGAGACACTTCAAGAAGACGGTTAAACTAGTTTTCTGTTTAATTAGGGTTTCATTGCTTAAGCTCCTTTGGTCAAGTACTAAAGTTGATTAATACCACGAACTCATTAGGTAACTTTGAATTTTTAAGGCAGTTCAAAGAGCCTCTTATTTTACATAAAAGGGTACAATTTAAACCTACTGGTAGTGTGGTATGTATCACTCCGCAAAATTTGATGAAAGGAATTAAGGAAAAGGAGAATAGATAACAGCAAATATATTTGTGTATTTGACAATTTCTTTTTTTAACTTTTATTTCAAAATATGAAGGGGATACAAATGTTTTACGTTACATGGATCACTTTTGTAATGCTTGAGTCTTGGCTATAGGTGTATATGACAATTTCAACCTTTATCTGAACCTGATTTAAATCTGTGTCTTTGCCCATTGTAAATATTTTTAGAATTCTTTATGGCACATTTATAAAAGATACTCAAGTTTAAAAGTGCCTTAAACATTTATATATACATTTAAAAGGAATACAAATTCTTCGGGCCAATGTGTTAAGAGGTTATTACTCCTGTGTATTACTCACAAATCATAGTGGTATATTAAAAGGTGAAGCGATTAGTCAAAGATTAAGAAAACTCAATTTAAGATAACTCAAAATCACAATGAAGAAGCTTAAAACCAGTTTAAGTATTCCTCAATAACATTTGTTAAAACTCCAAAGATCTCAAGTACCAGTAGTGAATAGGTACTTGATTCTTTACCTCATTTTATAAAATTCGATCATACACATAACTAGGAAATGACTGCTTTCATCATAGTCATCATCACACCAAGACATTACAAATGTTAAGAACTATTAATTCTAGAAATCTACATGTGAACTATATCTGATTCTGAAATCTACATCTGAACTACATCTAAGGTACCTAAGTACCCTTATATTGGCCACCTCTATTGTGTGCTTGCCCCCATCGTATCATCTAAGGCAGAGTTGGAGAAAGAAGAGGAAGCCAAAATTTGCTTTAAGCCAATTCTAGATAAGAACCCAGTGAAAGGCCTCACAGCAGGGTCTTGTGGCTCTTGTAATCAGAGCATAGTCTTGGTACTTCTGCTGTGTGTAGCTCACTCACTCACCCCATAACCTCTTTTCACTGGTCAGTGGTTAGGGAACAGAACTGATACCACTATTCCTTTTGTCAATTATTTTTGCTCTTCTGCTCTTCAAATGAAAAGGAGAAAGGTGCAGGGAGAGAACTACCTGCTGTCTTCCCAGTTTGTGTTCAAACACTTACATTTTCATGAATTAATGCCGATTTTAAAAAAGATCTAAATGAGTCAGCAAAAAGAAAAAGGAGATTTTGGTATGTTTCTATTAAGATAATATCTTAACTATCCTAAGTACTATGTGTTAACTACAGCTGACTGACTAGTTAAACAAATTCACTGTCAAAGCAGGTGAAGAACAAGCAAATTTTGAGAAAAGGAAGATACATCAGTGTATATACTGAAGAGAGTTTGTGAAAAAAATAGAGATCATAAAACATATTGGGAGACTCGAACAAAATTCATGCACTACTGATCATGACATTTCCCTAAAGATCTGCCTCGTTAAATCTTACACAAAGACACTTTCTGAAAATTCCCAACATTCCCAGTGTTGCAGTAGACCATCTCTAAAACAGAATTCTCTCTTTTTACTAACTAGAAACAAAACAAAAACCAGGCTAATTTACTTCAGCAGCACGCTTTCTGGTTACTTCTGGGATCCTCTTCTTCCCAGGTAAGACCACAGGTAGAATCTACTTTTAATATTTAACAGCAAACAATCCAATTCTACATTACACTATTATTTCCAAATTCCAAGGGACAGTTTACTACAATTTTGATCTACTGAAATGGAGTTGTTTTGAATAAAGTGAAGGAAAGAGAACTAACACAGAGTCCCTTACTATGTCCAGAACTGTACTAGGTTAAAAAAAAAAATATATATATATATATATATATATATATATATATATAATTTAATTGTCATAACAACTCTGTGAGGTGGATACATTCACTTGATAGGGCAGAAAAAGAAGACTTGGGGGCTACGTCAGTTGCCAGAAGTCACACAGCTATCAAAGAATGAAGTAGGACTGAAAGCTAGATCCAACTCCAATGTTCAAACACTTTGTTCTACCGTCCTGCCATCTCCAAAACAAACTTTAATGAATCTGACAAATAAGGCTCTATCCATTCGGTATTAAAAAAAAAAAACCTATTGACTATAATCTCGTAAGAATTTCTAAATTTATAATTAACTACAAAATGTATGTAATTGTTTGATAAACTGTAAAGAAAATAAATATCATTCATCACTCCATTGTCCCGAGATCACTTTACCTTGTGTTATGCATACATTTTGTACACAAACAACTGGTGTTCGAGTTATCCCAATAACATTACACAGCCATGTTCTCTAGTTCTCTGCAGTGTACAGTTGAACTAATGATTCTCCATTATTTCATTAGTATTTGTACTTTATCTTCAAGCTAATCTTTGGGAGAAAAATTATCACTCCTAGTGTTTTTTAATGACATAGGAAGATGTTCATCATTATATGCTTACAAAAAAAGAAGGCTTGTAGTATTGAAACTGTGTAAACAAAATGCATGAGAAGTCCATTTTTTCTTTTTTAAACGTTCCAAAGAACATGCATTACTTTTTATAAATAGTCATGATCTCACATTTAAAAGATAAAATGTATAGGCAGAATGTCCCAATTTTACCTATAAATTAAAAACATACATGGTTTTCAAGTTTTGATGTCCTACTATAGATATCTGTAGCATTTGAATGTATTGGTGAAGAGTTCCTAGGTATTTGCTGAGATTCATCATGGTTGATGGTCATGAAATAACAGTACTGAACTTAAAATGAAGAATTACCATTGACCTTGCAGAAAGTCCCAGAGGCATATGGAGTTTCTTCTTGCATTAGAACTTATTAGATTTAAGCAACCTACGTCCAGATCTTCAACCCTGAGATAATTAAAATGAATGCTATCGTTTTATAGTCCCATTAGGAAGATCAAATACCAATTTACTCTAAATTATAAAGTTCTCAAATTATCATTATTTTGAAAAAAATAAAATGAATGCTATCGTTTTATAGTCCCATTAGGAAGATCAAATACCAATTTACTCTAAATTATAAAGTTTTCAAATTATCATTATTTTGAACAACCTTCAATTTTATAACTTTCACCACTGCTAGTTAATGCAAGGAATGTGGCATTCAATCACAGATTTCAACCAAAAAAGCATACAAATAAAGCAAACTTCAATATAGAAAAGCAGCTATGGAACATGATCTTTTTGATGAATGGACAACCCTCAAGGCTGTTTTCCTTTTTGCTGTTTTCTTTTAGCAAGAGATAAAATTCACACTAGGATTAATGCCAACAACATAATATTTGCGTATACTTACCACAAAATAAATAAAACACAAAGATAATTTATAGCATTTTCTAATTTATTGGGATGATGGCTGATAGGTTATAGTTTTGGGTTTATTAATTAAAT